TTGCAAAAGTGACATTTTTGTGTATGTGCGTGGGACATGGACGCCACTGAGGCATTGGAGCGACAGTTGCCATTTCATCCACTGGCCTTTTAGATCCTCCGGTAGAGGAGAATCCCACTCTGTTGTCTGAAGCGATAGTTCTCTCAGAAGCAATCGTCCTTGAATGATGACTGGGGACAGAAACCCGAGAGGGTCGAACACACTGTTCACAGTCGAAAGAACCCCTCTTCTTGTGTAGGGTTTGTCTGTGTGTGGGATGTGAAAAGTGAAATAGTCCTCCATTATATTCCACTTAACTCCAAGACTGCGCTGATCCGGGAGTTCATCCTTGAAAAGGTCCGATCCTGCAGGTCCTTCGCTCGGTCTTGAGACGGGAATGCATCCATCACCTCAACCTTGTTTGATGCTATCTTGAGAAGGCGGAGGTTTGAGGCAGCGAGCATCTGCTGTGTTTGCTTTAGCATGTCTATTGCTTGGTGCTCGGTGGGGACAGATCTTAAGGCATCATCCACATAAAAGTCACGTTCTATGAAGTTGCAGATGTCTGACCCATATTCAGCTTTTCCTTGTTGTGCAGCTCTTCTCAGGCCATAAGTTGCTACCGCGGGTGAGGGGCTGTTGCCGAATACATGCACGCACATTCTGTAGTCCACAAGTTCTTTTTGTGGGTCATTATCTTTGTGCCAGACAAATCTGAGAACGTCTCTGCAGTCCTCGCGCACCAGGAAGCAATAAAACATTTGTTGGATGTCTGCTGTGACTGCGACTGGATGTTTTCGGAATCTAATAAGCACGCCTAATAGGCCATTGTTCAGATTAGGTCCTGAGAGGAGCACAGTATTGAGTGACATACCTTCGAACTGCGCGCTGGAGTCAAATACCACGCGAATTTGTGATGGCTTCTGTGGATGGTATACTCCGAAATAGGGCAGGTACCAATACTCCTTGCCTTCTTGTACTGGGGGTGCAAGCTCTGCATGCCCATTGTCTAACATTTTTTGCATAAAGTCCAACAGGTGTTCTTTCATTTCAGAGTTTTTACTGAGAGTTCGTTGAAGTGACCTGAGACGGCTGATAGCGTAGTGGCGATTGTTTGGTAATCGTGGTCTTGGCTGACGAAATGGCAGCGGAGCTACCCAGCTTTGTGATTCGTCTTGAAAGCACTCGCTGTCCATTAGTTTGAGGAACTGCAGATCCTCCATTGAAGGTGCGAGCTTATTGTCATTTTTGGTCTGGCAGAACACGTTCTCTCTAACACTTTCATATTGTGGGTTGACTCTCATGCTTGAGCTATATGTTGTCATTTTCTCCTTTGTAAGACTGGTGTCTTGCTTGACAGTGAAGTGATTTTCACATGGCGGGAAATGGGTCGGTCTGCCATTCGCCAGGATGTGTGTCTTGAGAGTGGTGACTTGTGAGGGCTTATGAGTGTTGCCAAGGCATACATCTCCAACTATCACCCAGCCTAAATCAAGTCTCTGCGCATAAGGTGCATCGTGGGGCCCATTGATTTGACTGCGCACTTTATGGACCCTCAGAATATCTCTCCCAAGCAGTAGCAAAATATCTGAACCATTGTCCAAAGGTGGTATTTTGTGTGCTATGCTTTCAAGGTGACGATGAGCGTGAGCGACGGCTGGTGTGGGTATTTCGTCTCTTTTATTGGGTATCTCATTGCACTCAATTAGCATAGGCAGGGGCATTGTGAGAGAGCCGTCAATGGCCTCTATCATGTAGCCAAGGGCCCTTCTACCTGAAGCTTGGCCTATACCACTGCATGTCTGGAGGGTGTAAGGAGCTGCGTTTCCTTTAACTTTGAACTTATCAAAAAACTCAGAGCGTGCTAGCGATACGTTACTCTGGTCATCCAGCATGGCGTACATTCTTTGACGTTTGCTGGAATCATTGACAGGGAAAACATTAACAAGGCATATTTTTGAACATGACTTCCCAGAGAAACCCTCACCGCATACTTCAGTGCAATTTGAAACAACTACTTTCTCCTGAAATTCTCGTTTCTCCCCGCCATGCTCTGCTGGCGGTGGAAGAGTTTTGGGGAAGTACGGAGCATCTTGATGCATTGCTGTTGGATGCCTATCACTGTCACACTCAGAACATTTAACTTCTGCTTTACAGTTACGGGCTACGTGTTCATTAGATGCACAGCACTTGAAACATATATTGTGTTGCTTTATTATGATCTTTCGTTCTTGAAGTGGTTTTTCTCTGAAGCTTCTACATTGTAGTAATGCATGCGGTTTGTTGTGTATAGGACAATACTTATCGGGTCCTTCAATGGGTGGGCCTGTGACATCGGTCTTATGCACTGAAACTGTTTTGCGAGTGTTGCTTTGACTCTCTCCATACCTGTTCCATTCCTTTCTACCTCCGGAAGGGTGTGGTAGCTGTAGATTGAAGCTTGGGTCATTACGGGCCTTTGCTTGTGTCTGTATGAACTGCAAAAAGAAAGCAAATGGAGGAAAGGTCACATGATATCGCTGTTTGAAGTGGGAACCTTCCATCATCCACTTGTCTTGTAGCCCAAATGGCAATTTATCTACAATAGGAGCAATGCCTCGTGCAGTGTCAAGATAAGATAAACCATGCAAATATCCTTCTTGTTTTGCAGACTCAATCTCCTGTAGTAAATCACTGAGTTCTCTGAGTTTTATATTGTCTCTAGGTCCTATTTTGGGGAACTGGTCAAGTTTTGCGAAAAGAGCACCCTCTATGGCCTCTGGTGACCCGTAGACCTCTTCTAGCCTTTCCCAAATGAGATCTAATGCTGCTACTGGTTTGTTTATGTTGACAGCTTTAATGCGTTGTGCATGTTTAGTGGACTCTGGACCAAGTGACTTTACCAGGAGGTCTATTTCTTCCGATGCCTTAAGCTCCAGGGTCTCAATAGCATTAGAGAAGGATGATTTCCAAGACAAATAGTTTTCCGGCTTGTCGTCAAACTTTGTGAGTTCAGATGTTAGTAACTGACTCCTCACTAAATATTTGGCAAGTTCATTTGTTTCACTTGAGTTGTTTGTAGCATGAGTGTGATTCCGGGCACGTCCACGAAAGGGCGACATATACGCTGGAGACTCCTGAACTTTATAATTAGTGTTGTATAGTGGTTCTCTTTGTTCATGTGAATCCTGCCTTTGTTCTGGAGGTCTGGATGCATGGGAATGCCTTGGCGGTGCAGGCAGCTCATCTTGTGTTACTTCAAATGGGTTGTCTTGGGTTAGATTTCTGTTTATTCCTGTTTTTATGTCATTTGATTTACTTGAATCGATGAATGCCTGCTGTCTTCTTACATAATCTGCAGTTCGATCATGGGAACTTTCTGGCTCTTGTTGTGGGGTTAGATGTCCTCCATCTGTGTCCAAACCCGCTGCTGCAGACTCCAGTACTGCTGCTTCTGCGGCTGCAGCTACAGCTTCACCTTCTTTATTTAAAACATCAAGTTCTACTTCTAATCTGGCTTTCTGCAATTTGATTTCAACTTCTCTCTTTGCAAATTCTGCTCTCTTTTGGGCACCTTCTGCTCGAGCACGTGCATTAGCAGCTGCTAATATCACGCTTGCCACAGAAGAACGGCTTGATTTCTTTGATGCTGAAGATCTGACTTCATACATTTCATCATTCTTCATCGTTGCGCTGATTTGATGTGCTTCAACACTGACTTGGAGATACTGCGACTGTTGTGCTGGCCTGGATGCAGCGTGTAACAATGCAGCAGCCAGGAGTTCATAATATGGAATCCCTTTTCACTGTACTGGCCTCGTAGAACCCTTATCTACTATCCAGGAGTTAAACACCTCCACACAATAAGTCACTGACGCCAGGATGGGTTTGACCTTTCCTTTATATGGCAGGTGTGAAACTGTAAACACAAAATACAATGTACATGAGTACAAAATGTAAAATAAAGAGCAGCACGCTTTGTAGCTAACATTACCTCAAATGCTACTAAACAAACATGGCCTAATTAAACTGTAAATAGTTCATTTTTGTGCCTCCTATAACTTTTAAAACACACATCTTAATTAATTGACCTAACTTAATCAACTTAACCCATACATACTTACAGGGAATGCCTTTTAAGAACTCAACTGAAAAAAAACACGTCTTTCCCAGCACACTTTCAACTGGCAATGGCAAGCGTAAATTTCCATGGCAACAAGGTGGCAGCAACAGGCGCCTTTTCTTAAAGGGCCAGTGCTCTAAACCAGCAAACTATGACAAAGATAAATAGACAAGTCAGAACACTGTCCCTTCGGTCAGTTCTGTGTTAAGCTTTTAGTTCAATAATTGAATGCAAAAAAGTGGGTTCAAACGTGTTACTATTTGAAACTTTGAAAATTATAAGTTTAGAATTTTGTGCGCGCTGACTGTATACGTATAGACAGAAAACCTGCTAGCTCAATGAAGCACGAGAGGGAAGTGCTCGTGCCCCAACTCCCTCAGCACAGGGACTGGCCTCCTGCTTGGACTCTGAGGAGCACAGGGATTGGCCTCAAGCTGGGACTCGCAGGAGCACAGGGACTGGCCTCCTGCTGGTCAGAGACAGGTTTCTACTTTGAAAATGTCCAAATTCAGGTTAAAAACGTTTCTGTTTAGCTGTATTACAACTGAAGGATTGTGTCTTCACACTTTTTAATGTACTGTGTATTTGAATGTTCTTTGAGTTGTGTATGAACAGTGCACTACAAATAAACTTGTCTTGCCAACGCGATACATGTTGGACTAACTTCCTTGTCCTCAGCCACATAACATAACATCGACAGCACAAACATAAGTGAGGTTTATATCATATATGAGCTGTCGACGTGTGACTGGATGCTTGGTGTCCCACTTTCCCCACGCTGATCCGCTGGCCCCTCCCCTCTCCCTGTCCTGACCACAGCCCTCCGCTCCCTGCAAACTCTGTCATCTCTCACTGGACACTGGCTTTGGTTGGCTCTGTTCTGGGCCCTCGTGCTCACCTCTCCGTATCCAGGGACAGCATGCGTTCTCTTCTGGACAGCAGCTGGCAGTTTGGTCCCGCGGGGAGGGATTCTCTGGAGTGGACTGGCCCGTCGCCCCTGCCCTCCACTGACCAACAACTGGCAGTGAGTACAACTGTATAGACTGGCTTTACACGTAGCTATTTGAGTAACAATATGTAGTGGATATTTAGCAACAATATGTAGTGGATATTTAGACCTCTGCCACATTGTTAGATCAGCTTTAACTGACAGATGCCAGAGAGAGATGCCAGAGATGCCAGAGAGACACCACAGAAAGACCACAGAGAGACTAGATAAAGACCAGAGAGAGACCAGAGAGGGACCACAGAAGGACCAGATAAAGACCAGAGAGAGACCAGAGAGGGAGACTAGAGAGAAACCAAAAAGAGACCAAAGATAGACCAGAGAAAGACCGAGAGAGACCCTAGAGAGAGAGAGAGAGAGAGAGAGAGAGAGAGAGACAGAGAGACAGAGAGAGAGAGAGAGAGAGAGAGAGAGAGAGCGAGAGACAGAGAGAGAGAGAGAGAGAGAGCGAGAGAGAGAGAGCAGTGAGTAAGACCACAGAGAGACAGCTAAAAACAAAACTTTCCTTAATCTGTGTTATTACAGCAGTCATAATTCTAGACACTTTAGCTTGGTTTCAGTATTTACTGATATGAGATGAATGACATTTACAGGCTCAGCAGTTCTCATTGTACAGTCTGACAGTAGCAGTCATTCAATTCAATTTCAATTCAAATCAATGTATTCTTGTATCGCTCTAAATCTCAACAGTAGTTAACTCAGAGGACTTAACAAAACGGTTGAAATCGCCAACACAGATCAGAGAATCAACAGTTCAAACACAAAGAAGAGAGGAGACATAGGTATTGGTCCATAGGCAGTTGACCAAGTACGGAACCGTTTGATTCTCTGATCTGTGTTGGCGAATCAACAGTTTTGTAAAGTCCTTCGAGAGAACTACTGTCGTGATTTATGGCAATACAAAATAAATGGAATTGATTTGATCTGAGATAAAGCCCGTGTCCCGTGCTTCGTCACTGATGTTGTTTGTGGGCCAGAGCCAGTGATGATCTAATGGCTGCAGCTGTTCATCTGCAAACAAGAGAGACATTTGTTGTACCATTTAAAAAACTAGATTGTTTTGCTTTGTCCCATTAGCAAATCTTGTTTATAATGTGCTCAAATTAAGAATATATCTTGCCAAATTTTTGCAAGTTTTGGCTTGTTTTTCATCACGTTTTGCAGTCAAAGCAAATAGAGGAAAAGATCTGAGGTTGCTATTTATAAGTTTAAAATCCTGTATTCGTTTCCACCGCTCTCAAGCCTTCATCGGGGAAAGTAGTGTCCAGTGGTCACAGGTAATATTAATGAGAATGACATATTACATGGCAGGGCAAGGCCAGTTTATTGGTACAGCGCAGTCCAGACACAAGACAACTCAATATGCTGAACAAAACACAATAGAAATTATCACACAAGGCATAAATAATTACAGTGCATTCAAAAAGTGAAGATATATGCGTCCCCATGTTTAGTCCTGACTCTGAGTCCCAGCTGGAGGCCAGTCCCTGTGCTCCTCTGAGTCCCAGCCGGAGGCAGGTCCCTGTGCTCCTCAGAGTCCCAGGAGGGAGGTAACACAAAACAAGATGTTAAATAAATGGTAAAAGAAGTAATTTAATAACGGAAATGTAATTGTAAGTTGATAAACACAAAATCGGTGCAGTACCCATGAAGAGAAGGGGTAACAAACAACTTCAACTTAACAACTGCCAACTGCAGTCAGATTGTACAATAGGAATTTTAATTGTTTTTCTATTTTTTCATTTTAAAATGTAAATTCTGATGTTTTTGCATGAATTAAATAAACTTCAACTTAAAAAATGTTACAGAACAAAAACAAGTCAAATGATCTAACATTGAATTTCATAGAAACTAAACCCTAAACCAACTGCTACTCGACAAAAGTGAAGTGTCACAGAAACAAAAACTGAAGTGATTCAAATGAGACAGACCAAAGAAAATACAAAGCGATACCTATGTTAGCCACGGAGCTTTCAAATATTCCATTTCAATTCAATTCAAAGTCTTTTTGTATTGTAATACAATAATAACAAAGACAAAGAGACATTGGTCCATAGAGAGCGGGACGACCACTGTCCAGAGATGTTCATAATGTCCCTTAAATGTCCCGGATCATCACCTCCTGCATCATCAAAGAACCAAAATAAGTGAGAAACATCGAGGAGGACCGCATTGAGAGAGGGGCCCACTCCCATCTATTTAATCTATATAATCTATATACAGTATATAGATAGCTAGTTTGTACGTGTGTCTCCAAGACAAGAGATTATGAAGAAATATTCATTTCCTCACTATCTATCTATCTATATAGATAGATAGTATATATCTATCTATAAATATAGATAGATAGTGGGGAAATTTCACATATATAGATATCTATCTATATAAATCATGTAAAGTACAGTGAATGATCGTGAAGTGTTTTCCCACAGGGCCAGAGCTCCGGAGATGCCCTTGGCCCTCGCTCCTTGTCCTCAATCGCCGCTGGATGCCTGTCCCTCCTGTTGCTCCTTTCACTCCTGCTCTTCCTGCTGTGGCGGAGGAGGCGGGGCTTGCATTTGGATGGGAAGCTGGGATTGGCTGGAGTCATTGCACTTGAAGACCTGCAGGTACGAAATATGGGGTTAACCCTCCTGTTATGTTGAGGGTCAAATTGACCCGTTTAAAGTTTAAAGATCTAGGAAAATGTATTTAAAGTATTTTTTCAGTGTTAAACCACTTCTGCTTGCCTTCATTAGTGCAAACAATATGTGCTATGAAAATGGTTCATTTCATATATTTTCAACCACCCCTCTGCAAGTTTGTATCACAGATACTGTTCGGGTCAATTTGACCCAGCAGCACAACTGGAGGTTAAAGGGAGTCAGAAATGTCAGAGTATATCTTTCATTGCAATTGTAAGACATATTTCACTCCAATCAAACACACACACACACGCAGATGACTTTTGGTGTGAACCAGTTATCTTCTCACAAGAAAACTTCACCCACATTCAGTGGAGACTCAACAGGGTAGGGGAAAAATGTATAAAGATTCTTTGTATGAGAGTCCTGCCAACATTGCACTCTTTACAAAATGATTAGGCTAAGCAAAAAGATGACTATTCAGGATCATGGATTGTGATAGTGAAATAGAGGAGGATGTATCTGAAGATGAAGACTATCTTCAGCTAAATTCTGATTCAGATTATTCTGATTTTGAACCAGATGGAGGAATTGCTATTCCTATTACTCCAAGCAAGACCTTTATGTCAAAAAATGGTGAAGTACAATGGTCTTCATCCCCAAATGTGTGTCAGGCAAGACTGTCTGCAGAACTTCCCCCAAATGTGTGTCAGGCAAGACTGTCTGCAGAAAACATAGTAAAGGTAGTGCCAGGGCAAATTAGAATGGCAGTGAGTTGTGTGACCGATTTCAAGTTCGCTTTTGAGTTGTTCCTGCCAGATTCAAAAAGGAAAATAATTCTTGAAATGTCTATTCTAGAGGGGAGGCAGGTTTTTGAGGAGAAGTGGAATGAGCTGGACAAGACTCATTTAGATGTGTTGTTGGGACTCCTGATCCTATTTGGGGTATATAAGTCAATGTATGAGTGGACAGCCAGTCGCTGGGATGCAGAGACAGCCAGAACTATATTTCGAGCCACAATGTCTCTGGAGACTTTTCACATTTTCTAAGAGTTATCTGAATTGATAATCGAGAAACAAGGGCTAGTAGAAAGAGACAAGCTGGCAGCTGTTAGGAAAGTGTGGGACAAGAGGGTAGAGAAACTTTGGCTACTCTACAACCCAGGCCCTAATATCACAGTGGATGAATGGATTCTATTGCACTAAATATTGGTAGAATCATTAGTAATGAGTTAGTCATTAAATATTCAGACTTAATGTTAGGCTCTTTTTTGGTTTTTAGAACCTTATGGATGATTAAAAATGCACCGGGTCAAATTGACCCAGGAACACCATTGCTGTACCTGAGAAATGAACATAATAGGAGGGTTAAATATGTATAATATATCTGGATATGATTTCATCCAAATATGTTAATATGTTTGTAGATACATGTACATGAATTCTTGTTGGCCTTTTGCATGATGATAAGAATAGTTACTTTGACTTTATGTGTATATGTTACAACTGTAACGATTGCAAACATTTAAAAAAAGAAAGAAAATCCAACATGGTTCCATGTGAATGATCTCACTCAAATGCCAACAATTCAAATTGAATAAAGAAAGTCCCAAAAGGAATTGAAGGGTGATACTTTGACTTTTTGACATTAATCCTGCTGATCACAATCTTGATTTGTGGTCTGAGGGTTTTTGATGTGGCAGAGTGATACAGATAGATAAAAAAAAGAGTGTCTAATAAAGTCCATCCAACTAGTTTTTTACTCTAAGACTAAATCCATCACACATTTTCTGACACATCTTTAGATCAGCTTTTTCTATTCTCTCTGGTCTCTTTCTAGTCTCTCTCTCTCTGGTCTCTTTCTAGTCTCTCTCTTTGGTCCCTCTCTAGTCTCTCACATCATCTTAAGATCTACTTTTTTCAGACAGAGAAGTGAAAAAGAAAGGCTCTTTAAACTAAATATATTATTTTTGGATGAAAACGTTACCCCCACTTTTTTTTTTGCTGATAAACGGTATAAATGAGTGTCCAATAATGTTGTCTCCATATCCTGGTCATAATTGTGTCACTTTAGTGCAAATTAGTTGAAAGATCAACTTTCTGCCTAAAACCGTCTGTGAGGCACCATCTGCTGGCGACCTGTATTACTACATTTGACTCTTGAATCTGGCGCCAACATTGGCGCAGAAGTTGCTGCTGACGTCTGCAGTGATGGCTGACGTCAGCAGCCCTGCCGCCCTGAGGTATAAAAGCGGCCCAGTCTCGTTTGGAGAAGGAATAGCGGAGAGTGTTTTCATCGATTGTCAGGTTTGCGATTAGTTATAGCATTTAGGTAGATTTTTAATAGCATAGCTGTTTATATTATTGATAATTGTGTAGTGTTAATAGTGTTGTTGTTGAATATTGTAGTTTTAGTCATTAATAGTTTTTATTGTTAGATTAGTTAGCTGAATTTAGCTTAGGACTTTTGTAAGTAATACTTTTTAGTGTTCTATGTCGTGTGCAATTTCATTGTATATTGTTTATTGTACTTATGTGTTAGGGTGGGGAGGAAGTGAAGTGTAGTTGGGTGCCACAGTTCTGTAGGTTTGCATTGGTTTCCTCAGAACTTAGAAATAAGGCGTTTAGGAGAAGACTGAAAACTCCCTCCTCAGGCTGGAGTTTTCAAACTACTTTTTGCGCGTGATTACTTTGCCAACTTAATGGAGGTTGAATTGAAACAGGCCCCATTCTGTGGCGGTCTGCTGCCTCCACTGCCTCCGCAGCATTAGCTCCCCCGATGGCGCTGGCTAGCTCGCGCTCAAATTGATAGGGCTGAGGGCCGCTGTCTGCCTCCTCTCTCTCAACCTCCGGTGATCCGGTGAGGACAGTGGAGAGAAGTCCTCCACCTCCTATGACCGCACAGAAACTATAGAGATGGCGTTGCTGTGATCACTCTCCATCTTTAACACGGCCAATGCTGATGTCAAGCGTCAATCACAGCCTATAGACCCCCTCCCCCCGCTTGTCCCCTTTAGTCCTCCAGGCTACGCCCATTTGGAGGGAGATTTGAAAAGAGAATGTGAGTGACGTAAGCCTTGAGGAGCGGGGGTGAGAAGTTCTTTAAGCAAACCGAAGCTCATCAAGGCTTCTGTGAACTGCTTTCTGACCGAGCCGCAGTGATTCAAAACTCAAAATAGTGGCCAGAGTTAATTGGCGTATGCTCGCTCCAGGACACTCTTGAAAAAGATAGGATTAATCTCAATGAAGTTCTCCTGGTTAAATATAGTTTAAATTAAAAATTAAAAATGGATGTTTCAGACATTAGTGTAAGTGACATATTTCAGCCTCTGGTACCAGACTGTGCAGTAGGTTTAATTTGGGGCACTTCGGTCTCTCTGGAAGTATCATTTGAGCATTCTGACCAATCAGAGCTGACTTTAGAGGGCAGCACTGAGCACCGCTGGTGTTTAGAAGGAAAAAACAACAACCGACCTGACCACGCTGAGCAGACGAAAGAGAGCCAAGTTTATTGCACTAAAGGGTGAATTCATAGAAAGGAAAAGAAAAAGCTCTTGATGACGAAGAAGATGCAGAGAGGACTCACCCAACATCTGGCTCTTGGGACGTGGAACGTCACCTCACTGGGGGGGAAGGAGCCCGAGCTTGTGGGGGAGGTTGAGCGATACCGACTAGAGATAGTCGGCCTCACCTCCACACGGCTCTGGAACCCAACTCCTCGAGAGCGGTTGGACGCTCCACTTCTCTGGTGTTTCCCGCGGGGAGAGGCGGCGAGCTGGGGTGGCCATACTCATTGCCCCCCATCTCAGCCGCCACGTGTTGGAGTTCTCCCCGGTGAATGAGAGGGTCGCGTCCCTCCGCCTCCGGGTGAGGGACAAGTCTTTCACTGTTGTGACGGCCTCCGGGCCTAACGGCAGTGCATAGTACTCGGCCTTCTCGGAGTCCTTGGGAGGTGTACTGGACGGTGCACCGCCCGGGGACTCCGTTATTCTCCTGGGGGACTTCAACGCCCATGTGGGAAATGCCAGTGACACTTGGAGGGGGGTGATCGGGAAGAACGGCCCAGCTGATCTGAACCCGAGCGGTGTTCAGTTGCTGGACTTCTGTGCTAGTCACAGTTTGTCCATCACGAACACCATGTTCGAGTACAAGGGTGTCCACCAGTGCACGTGGCACCAGGACACCCTAGGCCGGAGGTCGATGATCGACTTTGTTGTCGTATCATCTGACCTTCGGCCGCTTGTCTCGGACACTCGGGTGAAGAGAGAGGCGGAGCTGTCAACCGATCACCACCTGGTCGTGAGTTGGATCCGCTGGCAGGGGAGGAAGCCGGTCAGGCCTGGCAGACCCAAGCGTGGAGTGAGGGTCTGCTGGGAACGTCTCGCTGAGCCCCCGTCAGACGGACTTTCAACTCACACCTCCGGGAGAGCTTCTCCCAGGTCCCGGCGGAGGAAGGGGATATTGAGTCTGAGTGGACCATGTTCTCTTCCTGTGGATTTGGAGAAGGCGTTTAACCGTGTTCCCCGTGGTGTCCTTTGGGGGGTTCTCCGGGAATATGGGGTCCGGGGTCCTCTGCTGAGGGCCATCCAGTCCCTCTATGACCGGAGTCAGAGCTGTGTTCGCATTGCCGGCAGTAAGTCAGACCTGTTCCCGGTGCATGTTGGCCTCCGCCAGGGCTGCCCTTTGTCACCGGTTCTGTATTCATGGACAGAATTTCTAGGCGCAGCCAGGGGCCGGAGGGGGTCCGGTTCGGGGACCACAGGATTTCATCTCTGCTGTTTGCGGACGATGTTGTCCTGTTGGCTCCAACGAACCAGGACCTGCAACATGCACTGGGACGGTTTGCAGCCGAGTGTGAAGCGGCTGGGATGAGAATCAGCACCTCCAAATCCGAGGCCATGGTGCTCGACCAGAAAAAGGTGCCTTGCCCTCTCCAGGTGGGTGGAGAGGTCCTTCCTCAAGTGGAGGAGTTCAAGTATCTCGGGGTCTTGTTCACGAGTGAGGGAAGGATGGAGCGTGAGATTGACAGGCGGATCGGTGCAGCGTTGGCCTGGGAGCGCCTTGGGGTCCCCCCGGACGAGCTGGAGGGGGGGGTAGGGAAGTCTGGGCGTCTCTGCTTAGACTGCTGCTCCCGCGACCGGCAACGGATGAAGCGGAAGAAAATGGATGGATGGATGGACAAAGAAGGCTGCGTAGCCCGGGTGACTTTAGACTGCAGTATTGCAGCTGACCTGTGTCTATAATGGGGACCATCTTAAGCTATGAACACACTAATACTAGAACTCCCAAGAGTCAATTTGACTGCTTTTAGTTTTGGAAGTGTATTTACTCGGCTTGTGTAGATTTTTGGTCTTCATAACGTGTGACCTTTCCTGTTTCTATATGTCGTTTTTTTTTTATTATTATTATTTTCATCATTTTATTTTTGAAAAAGTGAGTCCTGGTCACTATAGCAACACACATTTACCATCAGTAGTTAGCATTTTGACTTTAGCATTTAGCCTCTCAAAAAAACTATTCTAGCAGTATATAAGTAAAGGTGTAAAGTAAAGTTCTTAGACCTCCATCGGTTTGATTGGGAGCAGTCAAAATGACAGCACTTGAAGTTCTAGTAGCTTCATAATTGGGGGAGTCCTTGTGATAATACCAGCCTCGGGTCTCACCCTGCACTGTGTGACTCTCTCTCTCCAGGACCCCGAGCGTAACTGTGAGCTGCTGTCGTCCCTGCGCCGTGAGCACAGCATGAGGCAGAGCCAGCGCAGGAGGAGCCAGCGGCTGCCCTCCTCCAGCTCCGAGCAGGAGGTGGGTGATGGCGTCTTCCTCATGGTCTATCTGCCCCCGCCCTACGAACAGACGCTCACGCGGCTGGCCCGCGCAGCCAGCATCCGGGACAGAGACGAGGACGCTGTGACTCCCAGCTCCAGCCTGGATTCTTGCCCTAAGCCTGGTCTGGACCCTGCCGCTGGTCTCGTGCTGGATCCTCCCCCGCGTCCTGGTCTTGACCCTTCCCCTGGTCCCAGTCTAGACCCTCCACCTAGCTCTGGTCTGGACCCTCCCTCTAGTCCCGGGCCCCTTCTCAATCTCAGCCCTGGTCCGGACACCAAGGCCCCAGCGGAGATAATGGTCATAGAAGAAAGTGAGATTGTGGACTGATGTTTTTAGAGACATCTGTTGGTGGAAGTGAGAAATGCGTGGTTTTCTTCTATGGAAAGGTTCTTTGATGACATCAATATTTCAACAGATAATGATCTACAGTGAGTGAGTGTTGACCAAAGCTGGTATGTGGGCGTGCACACTCACAGAACTATGTTAAGTTATGGAATTTTACTTCTGTCGCTCAGTACAACCATCTTAACTATGTGTTAGTGAAATGTGTTATGTTACCTGACATATGTACTGTAGCTGACATGTGCATCACACCTCTGTGAGAGGGAACACTATTCCCAGGCAGGCAGAGGTTATGGTAAAGCTGTCCGAGGGCAGTATGATTCAAGATTCAAGATTCTAGATTGATATATTATGTCCTGGAGGAAATGTGTGGCAGCTACAAAAAAAATCACCGCTCTGCTGAATGACCGGTTCACGGAAATGAGTTCTTATACCGGTTTAGGTTTCTTTTCATATTTTTTATTGGTTCTCGGTAGTGGCCGGACAGGAGAAGCTCATACCGGCCCTCATTTATGAAACTTGCGCAGAAAAAGGTGTACATTTTGGGTGTAGATTCAGAATACGTAAGATTCAACGTGGGATTTGTGAGATCCACCCAGAACCGAGCAGACGCAGCTGTTCATAAATGCCGAGGGGGGAAAACCAGCATATTTATGAAAGTCACGCCTATAAATATGCAGCAATCGCCTGTTTCACGCCCTGTTTTAGGACAGGTCAGCATGGAAGTCGGCCAAGAAGACTGTTTGGAAGTCTCAAAAGTTCTGTCGAACGTTTGTTTGTTCATGTTTGTGTAAAAATAAATATACCCTTTATTCAGCAGAGTTTCCTTTTAAACAAATTTGCAAAACTTTTGATACATTATAAAAATCTCTCTTGAACTGTAGAAGTAAATAATTAAATAAATATATAAATAATGAATAAATAAATTCATAAATATTAATAGCTTGGCCTCGGCAGTGGCTATAATCAAAGCGTCTGCAGCATCTTGTGAAAGCAATGGAGCGCTGTACACTTGAGAGAGGGTGAGAAGCTCTGGATCCAAAACTTCTGAATGACGCACAACACATTTGAGGGCGCAAGAGATACGAGCGTTGCCATACTGTCCATAAACTGCTACATGTGGACAGGGCAGTGAGACATTTGAAGTTAGCAAGACTACAGTCCATCGGTGCGTTTATGGGGTGTGGGAGGCTTTCACAAAACTAATGGAAAAATACATTGCTTACTGCCACAGATTTACAAAGCAATAGATGAGTCACACGTCCCTGTTGCGTAAGTTAATAAGTAAAGTTGGGCGGCACGGTGGCTGAGTGGATAGCACTCTCGCCTCTCAGCAAGAAGGTCCTGGGTTCGAATCCCGGTCGGACCAGGGCCTTTCTGAGTGGAGTTTGCATGTTCTCCCCATGTCTGCGTAGGTTTCCTCCGGGTACTCCGGTTTCCCCTACCACTAAAAATATGTCCAATAGTTCAGGCATGTGCCTCCTGTACTGGCCCCGCTCCCATCTCTGTGTGGAGTGAGAGACAAATGCCCATAATTAACAATTGTAAACCGCTTTGAGACTCAGATCTGCAGTGAAAAGGCGGTATATAAATAAAAAACTTACTAACTTACTTACTTAAAGTCTATTTGTGTCCCGTCTTTCACAGACCATGATCACAAAGCACTTCACATTTAAAAAAACATACAGATGAAAATAATACGCACAAGTCAGATTTTAAAACGGAGGAACAGAGGAGGGTCCTCATCATGAACTGGGATTTATTCCACGTTTGCGTGTTTCCATTAGACTTTTTCTGATGCGCAAATTCTAATGTTGAAATGGGATGCTCTATGAAAACGCATCTTATAATTTTTCCAGAGTGGGAATATGTTGTTTTTGCGTGTTGTAATGGTTGAGATGAGTGTAAAATTTACACCACCTCCAGAATCGGTGTTTTTTTTTTTTTTTTTTGCACACCGTACGTCACGTCCAGATTGTTGAATGCCGAAAAGTGGACATTTTTTGCGTGCGCCTCATTTACACCCTGATCTGGCCGTACGCATGTTTCATACATGAGGGCCACTGAGAGTAAAGTACAGTGTACAAACATCCTGCTAACATCCCACTGACCTGACAGCTCCTAGGACCAGACATTATTTGAAAAAGAATTATGACAGAAATGAATGGATGCAGCGACTGTGAAGGAGTTAAGGACTGGACACGAAGCAGAAAAAAAGAACCTCCCTCAATGACATCTTCACAAGTTATTACATCCTGTTCTTTGTCACTCATGTTGTTGTTTATGTATATATTTATTTACTATTATTATGTTTGTAACACAATGGTAACCCAGCAGAACTGACAACTTTATTTATATATATTTTAGTCTGCGCCATTGTAGCAGTTCACGCTACACTCCGAGGCCAATTTTTTATAATGAAATTATCTGAATTGTCAGTTGCTCTGGAAATGACCCTCATTTTATGTCACACTGAATGAAATGGATTAGGGACAAGAGCTGAGGTCTCCGACCTGCAGTTCAGGAGCTACGAGAAGCTTGCCACCCCTTTCCAAGTAGCTTGTGGTTTGTTGAGGATTCCAAACTGTATGATTCAAATGCCCACAACTGTTGTAAATGCAAACTAACATTGTAATAAATGATAAATAGTGACAGAACAGTAACAATACCCCATTTATTGACTATTTATTTCCAAGTAGCTCTCTGCCCTTTTTTCTCAAGAAAGTAGCTCTCTGGGTGTGAAAGAGCAGGGCGAGAATGTTACGGCGGCCATTTTGGTTTTCATTGTCAAAAGGAAATACAGTCACAGGAAATGATGTGAAAGCAGAGAAAACACCTCCCACGTTTGTTTTCTAATAATGCAGGCAACCCATTATGGAGCTTAATGAATTAGTTTTTGAATAAAGAGAGATGGATGCACACTGATCATTATTTTATTTGCCTAATCAAGAGGACCTACGGTATATGTTTCCTTTTGTGGCAAAGGGGGTAGACATGATATTGATTTAACTTAATCCAGAGGTCACAAACCTTTATTCCAAAAGAGCCATTCAAAGTTCAGTCAAACAAGTATAAAATTAATTTTAAACGTACTCTAATGATCCGCAGAGTTCACCTGTGATTATGGGATAAATGGGCGGGTTTAAACGCGTTCATTTTTTATTAACAGATTAAAGAAAGATGTAATTAACGTGCGTTAACGCAATAATTTACTGATGTTTTTTGTTTGTTTAATGGCAGTAGACCCTCAAATTCACCGTAAGAGCTGGGGACACAACAATAACAGAAGTGTGTAAGCTCATAATCAAACTCTTACAAATAATGCAGCGTACATTTGACAATTATTTGCACTTATAATAATTAACGTACCTTGTTCCTCAACAAAGGGTAGTTTAATAATATTAACATCTATTGTGCTCCTTAGAACTTTTTGGGAATGTCTTTCTGTTGCCGTGGTTTCCGTGCATTGCTGTTGATGACTCAAGCCTTGCGCTAACATGCAGAAACAGGAAACCTTCCGAATAAAATTCCTAAAACTAAAACCGGATATATTATCAAATACACTTTTTATTTATTTACACCTTCCATAAAGCCAAAGACGCAGGTCCCATGTCTTCCTATGTGGTGGATATTCCTGTTCTGAAGTGGCTCGGAGTTATTGTCGGAAGTGCGTGTGGTTCACTGGAGGGGGCCACATGGATCATGCAGAGCATCGCACGCACCAGTTACGAGCCAAGTTGCAGTCAGCAGATTTTTTTGAGTTTTCAGTGCTTTCTGTCACACATGCTTGACATTGGCAGCATTCTGAAGAGCACATCCATGAGGTTTCAGGAGGATTTTAAATTTTAATTTTAAATTAATTCCTCAGAAGTGTTTTTCATTCTTTATTTTTTATTCTCTCTTTCTGACTGTTGCACCGAGCCAAAGCAATTTCCAAGTCTGTCACCTCCTGTTACTTCTACTATTCTGATTCTGATTCTGAAAAGCTGACCATTGGAGAAGGTAAGAACAAAATCATGGTGGCCATTGGACAGTTCCCATTTTTACTTGATGGTGAAGGCCACATTCTGATGCTGACAGAGACAAAAAGTTCAAATAACTCTTCAACCCCTCTCTGGTGTTTGCAAAGAGTATAAGGCAGGTCGCCTGCGCTGTCCAAGCCTGATGTCTGTATCCACTGTGTTCAACAAAAATACTTCTATGCACTGTACACAGTCTGGTATTCCTTGCATCATTGATTCTTTGCGTCTGCTTCTCACTCCATCTCACATCATACAGGCCAACCACTTATGAGCAGTTTGGGTTTGGGTCATGGACCATGACGTCAATGTGTAATCTATGAGTTGGGATTCAGAGTTTCGTTACAACCAACCAGTGTCCAAGAAGAAGGAGTCAAATATAGATGAAAAGAAGGAGAGCAAGATAGGAAAATAGATACATGAAAACACCAGGGAAAGTTCTTGATAGATTCCCAAACTTTGGTATTCTGTCATTTTAAACCCCAATCATCCATTCAACACAATACCATGCAATAACAATACCGTACAATATAATCAAAAACACATAGCAACATGGTGTAGGACAAAACAAAAAAGTCACAGAGGTCCAAACACTCTGATTTTATACCTTTCTTCACTCACTAACAAACAAACACACACATACACACAGACATACTCACTAACACACAGAAAAACAAACATACACAGACACAAGTTTGTGTAAGCCCTCAGTCGTACAGGGATTAGTCAAAGCAAAGGAAGGTTTCTCACCCATCATCTGTACTTCTTAGCAAGTACAGATGATGGGTGCTGTGTCATACACAGACACACTCATTAACACACAAACATGGGCACAGACACACAAACACAGAGTGTCTGTTTCACTTTTTAACTCTTTCCATTTTAGAAAATGCTAAACTTTAGAAATGTTCATAAATGTTTTATAAACGTTTTATTATGCCTTAGTCTTCTGTACTTTTGTCTTGTTTACACCGAGAGCCAAAACAATTTCCTAGTATGTGACTACCTGTTACTTACATGGCAATAAAAATTATTCTTATTCTGATTTACCAATCCGAAAGTCCGTGATCCGGGTTGCCAGAGAGAGCGACCAGCGAGAGTGAGACCTGAGAGAGCGACCAAAGAGAGAGACCAGAGAGAGATAAATTCAGGACTGATGCTGGAGCTGAGCCGATGAGGACAGAGTGACCATAAAGAGAGACCAGAGAGAGAGTAACCAGAGAGAGAGACCACAAAGAGAAACCATGGAAATAATGAGAGGCACTCTGCTTCCTGTCCCCGTGCTTCAGGATTGGTGAACATAGGGACCTGGAGTATGTGTATAGGGACCTGGAGTGTGAGCATAGGGACTTGGATTGTGGGTATATAGGGACCTGGAGCTCTCAGATGTCCACTCTCTTTCCGAGTTTCCTGAGGCATAGGTTCCCATCAGGCATCACCTCACCATGAGTGCAGACCCTGGACTGGGGATGCCTCATCTTGTCTATACTTCAATTGTACACATTAAAAAAAGGTTTCCAGCATGTTCTGCTCTACACAAATAATTAAAAATTGAAATCCACTTTTTAACCCGAGAGAGACCAGAGAAAGAGAGAGAGAGCCTCACCCAAACTGTGGTTCTGGCTCCAGGCGTCTGAGGAGGAGCTGCGCTGGGTGATCCGGACTTCGGTGGTGCTGTTCGGCCTGGCTGGCACCTCCCTGACCTTCCTCCACACGGGGGTCATGGCCTTCTGGGTGCTGGGGGGAAAGATCACCTACATCCTCATGTTCCCCCAGCTCGTCTGTGTGCTCTTCATACGCTGCACCAACGGGTACGGTTTGGTGTTGCAAAGAGGCAAAGAAAATACTTGAAGTATCTTGATTTTTTAGGTTTTAGAGCCATATGAGAGCAAGCCGGGTTTGTGGCACTGAAGTGAGTTAGAGAAAACGTTCAGGAGGACAAGAGACACAAAAATTCTCCTGAAGGTTCCCTATCTCTAAGGACAAATCCTTTTATTCAATTCAATTCAATTTATTTTTGTATCGCCCTTAATCACAACTGTAGTAGTCTCTGAGGACTTTACAATTTTGTCGATTCGGCAACACCGATCAGAAAATCAAACAGTTCAAACACAGAAAATACAATGATGAAAAACACTATGGACCAATGTCCATAAATGCCGTTGAATGTTGATTTTCCTGGATCAACACCACGGTCCTTAGACCCTCCTGCTTTGACACGAAAAAAAATCAAGTCAGGGAGAAAAAACCTTGTGGAGAACCACATTGAGGAAGGGATTCGCTCCCACGGATGGACGGGCTGTAGGTCCAGGGCTCAGGCCTTAGAACAAGGACCATGGCCAAGTGATTTTAGGGAACACTGAGGTCTATGAAGATATGTCCTTTCAGCCCAAGTGGATTTATGTTGCAGTACCGTGTGTGGCTCTAAGGCCAGCAGCAACACCCGCCATACGTCCACATGCTAGAGTTCCAGTTTTATATAGTAGCTACACTGAATCATATAGTAATTTATTCCACTAACGCTCCCTATAGGTACGGGCCGGCGACAGGCTTCTTGTTGGCCTGCTCTCTAGACTCCTGTGTGGGGAGCCCATGCTGGCTCTGCCCCCTGTCCTCCACTTCCCCGGTTGTGCCCTAGAGGGAGGGGTCTGCGTGCAGTACTGGCCCATCCGCTCCACATGCATGCTGCTGGTGCTGGCCACCATCCCACTGGTGTCCAGGGGGATGGCTGCCCTCTTCAACAGAGAGCTGTTGTCTCAGAGCTGGGACGTGTTTAAAGGTCAAAGCACCTAAGAAAGAGGAGACACTGGCTGAGCAGGACGGGACCGAGAGAAGACCCATGCTGAAGCCACCTGCTGACCACAAGGAGGGTCAGGACCGAGAGAAGACCCAGGCTGAAGCCACCTACTGACCACAAGGAGGGTCAGGACCGAGAGAAGACCTCTTACCTACATCCTAAAAAGTGGTGACATCGTTTGTCACCATTCTTTAGGATGGTACTTCCATCCATCCATCTTCTTCCCCTTAACCAATTTTTGGGTCAGGCAGGGGGGTGGCAGTCATAGCTGCACTCAGTACACATAGCACCAGCCCCTCACTGACCCTCCTGCAGGTGGTGAGTCCACAGGAGCCTTGATTATTCAGCAGGGGCTTAGGCAAAGTGGGGTTCAGTGTCTTGCCCAAGGACACATCGACAGCAGTCATCAGTGGGAGTCATGAAGTAGGTCTTGAACCCACGACCTTCAGGCTCTAAGGCCAATGCTCTATCAACTGAGCCACTGTCGCGCCTAGGATGGTACTTATATAGTTTTATTCATCAGTGAAGTTGTCCTGATATGCAGGACAGTTCTTACATTGACCACAAGAGGAAGTAGTGAGTGCTTCTCAGAACATGGTTCGCCTCTTCTGCAGACTTCTCAAAATTATGCATACCAATGCTCGTCTTTTTAATTGGTAAATACCAATTCCTTTTTTTATTTTACAACATGTTTTAATGAACAGAAGCCTTTGGATCATTTCCACTGCATTCAGTCACACTTGGACTCAAAAATCAGGTAGCTTAGCTTTAAGTTCTGTTCTAAACAGATACACCTTCAACAGGCCAAGAAACACAATCACAAAGTTTACAATGGGCGTCTTTCTCATTCATGAAAACAAATGTTTTTTCCTGGAAACAAATCTTTATTGAAGACATGTTCAGCAGTGAACTGGGCGTGGTCTGGGCCTCAGGGGGTGTGGTCTGAGCCTCAGGGGTGGTGGTCTGGGCCTCAGTAGTAGAAGGGATTGTAAGTCAAGCAGGAATCCGGCCTCTTCCTGAAGTCCCCCGTTGATTGAAAGGTGCAATCTGATGTGTCCATAGAGCAATGGCCGCAGTGACACTTAGTTGCCACCGGGTAGCGCACCACCGAGTTCACACCGGGGGGGCAGCCTGGCAGCTCCAGCTCAGCGTAGTAGAACTCCTGATACGTGCATACATTTTGGTAAGGTCTGTTTAAGGGGAGATTCCACAACGGGTCCTGCAACACACGGGCACAGACGGTTTTATACAAATGTTTTTGATCAGAAAGATATTCTCCTCTGCCCCTTCACCCTCTGCAGCAGGAGGTGGTTGTGGTGGTTTGTCAGTTGGGGATTGTATTGAAAAGTATTGATACATTCCCCAACTCTAAAAGACTGTATAAGATAAGTGATTTTAACAAAGAGGCCTTTGAAGAAGGATCACAGTAAACATGATTGCTCTGGAAAATAGCTCAGGTACTGCTGATATGTGTGTATGTATTATGTATTAGTCTTGTATGTAAGTATTACTCTTGACTCGGGTTCTTCTGACATGTATTCATAAATTATTCTGAACATTTAATTTAATAACGCAATGATGGTAGTTAAATGTTTTTTTTTAAACTCTTACCTACTCGTTTTGAGCTCTATATAGCACTTAAACAGTGTTTTGTTGTTGCATCAACAGTATGTATTGCTCTGAGCTCAAATAAAGAATCTGAACTGAACTGATTGGTGTGGGTTGGAGCGCTTGTGTTGTTGAGATGGTGTGATTGGGTTGCTGATATGGTGTGGTTCCATCCATCCATTTTCGACCCCTTAATCTATTTCTGGGTCGGTTGGTGTGGTGTGATTGGTTAGTGTGGTTGTGTTGGTGTGAGTGGTTGGTTGTATTGGTGTGCTGTGGTTGTATTGGTGTGGAGTGGTTGTGTGATTGGTTGGTGTGGTGTGGTTGTGTTGTTGTGGTTGTGTTGGTTGGTGTGGTTGTATTGGTGTGGTTTGGTTGTGTGATTGGTTGGTGTGGTGTTGGTGGGATTGGTTGGTGGTGTGTGGAAGGTTGGTGTGGTGTGGTTGTGTTGGTGTGATTGGTTAGTTGTGGTTTGTTGGTGTGATTGGTTGGTTGTTGTGGTTGTGTTGGTCTGGTTGGTTGGTGTGGTGTGGTTGTATTGGTGTGGTGTGGTTTTGTGATTGGTTGGTGTGGTGTGGTTGTGTGATTGGTTAGTGTGGTTGTGTTGGTGTGATTGGTTGGTTGTATTGGTGTGCTGTGGTTTTATTGGTGTGGTGTGGTTGTGTGATTGGTTGGTGTGGTGTGGTTGTGTTGGTGTGATTGGTTGGTTGCTGTGGTTGTGTTGGTTGGTGTGGTTGTATTGGTGTGGTGTGGTTGTGTGATTGGTTAGACCTGAGTGCGACAAAAGCCGCTGCAGGTGGGGATCTCCATAGGGTAGCAGAATGGACAGCCCTTCTTCTCCAGGTACACGGTCACATTCTGGGGCTGACAGCCGGCTCCATCAGCGACTGACACACACATGCAGGTTTACGCCCAAGATGGGGTACAAACACATACACACAGGATGGAGCACACAAACACACATGATGGGGTACACACACACACACACACACAAACAGACAATAGAGTACACACAAACACCCATGATTTATTTCAACTTGACTTTGACTTGTTTGAATCATAAAGCTAGGGTAAGCAAAATTGTAGGCCAAAAAATTACAGAAAAAACAAAAAAAAACTGCCTCACACAGTCAACCAGCTCCCATTTCAAAGAGTCAAATACTGACTCAGAGGGCTCTATGAAAAAACTTTATTTACAGTGCATTTTTACAGACCAAAGTCTCCCAAAGTGGAAATGTTCAGAGTTCAGATATTGTTTCAGTCTCTCCACACAGTGATGACAAAAGCATCTCGAGTCTCAAACACACTGGTCAACACATCAAAGCCCCTCGACCAACACCATCCATTCACTCACTCATTACTTTCAGACCAATTGCACATGTTTTCAGTGGTAAGGGAAACCAGAGCACCCGGAGAAACCCTACGCAGACACGGGGAGAAATGCAAACTCCAATCAGAAAGGCCCCATTCTTTCTCAGGAGCAAGAGTGCAATTGACTCGTGTCGTTCGTTCTGTTCTACTCTACTCTACTCTACTCTACTCTACTCTACTCTACTCTACTCTACTCTACTCTACTCTACTCTACTCTACTCTACTCTACTCTACTCTACTCTACTCTACTCTACTCTACTCTACTCTACTCTACTCTACCCTACCCTACCCTACCCTACCCTACCCTACCCTACCCTACCCTACCCTACCCTACCCTACCCTACCCTACCCACTCTACCCTACCCTACCCACTCTACCCTACCCTACCTGCTTAGGAACTGGTGTTGTGAATCGGTTGCTAGGATACTATACCAAATACAAAAACGTAAAAGGAAACAGATCTGAGCAGAGCTTAGCTATTGGTACGGGTCTTTAGACTTTCACTATCTGAAGATACCAATGTGAACCAATACTAATACTGAGGAGACTGAAACATTTTGTTTCCTCTGAAATAACTGATCGATCATACAAAATAAGTCACTCAAGCTTGTTTGTGATATGGTAAAAAAATAATGGATTAAAAACAGCACAGCAGAACTCCATGGCAAAACTGTGTTGATGAGATAGAGAGTTAATAGAAAGTGCAAAACAGCTTACCTGCAGGAGGCATGAGGCAGATGGAGAGACAGGTCATGAGGAGGATGGAGGCGAGTGGAGACATGGTCCTGCACATGCGAACAAAGAAAACCTTCAGAGTTATGAGATCAGAACACAAAGATGATATTTACGTAGAATGTGAAGTCTCGTGGCATGTTGTATGGATAAACGTGTGTTCTGAAGAAAGAGAGGACTTGAAAGATGGTGCTATCTTGCACTAGACAAGACTATCCAATAAATGTGCATAAATGTCCTCACATGTGATTCCACCCATTTCATACAGTACACCTGAGTTGAGTACACCTGATGCAGCAGATCCTGTGCCAAACTCAATAAAAGTAAAGTAAAATCTGTTGCCAAATAGCCCTAGTTTAGTGATGCAGTCTGCTTATACATTCAACTGGATTTAGATGTAAATCTATCACGGTGTGGTCGAATGTCATCCATGCAATGACATCAGAAATGTTATGTGAAAAAAGAAAGTGGATACAGTATTTTCTGTTTGTAGCAAGCTAAACAATCATGATTCCCCCCTGTGAAAATGTGTGGATGAATGGATGGAGTTCAAACATATGGTTAATATCCAAAAAACAATGTCACCTGTATCAACTGACTCACAGAGTGGCGTCTCAACATGTTGGCGTCTCAACGTGTGGCGCGTGTACGTACCTGGGGGTGCGTGCAGCTGTTGTGCAGTTGGAGCCATGATGGGAGCTTTTAAAGAGCACCCCTGTCTCCAGGACGAAGTTGACCTCTTCTGAACAGGAAGTCTTCCTTTATCCAGGACAGGGCACCGTGCCCCAGGGGTCAGCGCGGCCTCGGCGGATCAGCCAACTGCAAAACAGGTAAACAGCAGAACGGAACTGAACACTCCAATAGTGTGTACAGTATGTCTCCAAATCAGAGCTTTTGATTTATGCTCTGTGATTCTCCAAAGACAAGTTTACTTGTATATGTGCATACTATGTGTGTTTATGCACAGTTCATAAACTGTGCATAAACATTAAATAAACAAGTAATCACAAACCATTTAAAAGGGAAGATACAATGCTCCAGTTGTTGCAGCAAAACAGAACTATTATATTTGGATTTGAACATTTTCCGGGGAAGAAGCCTGGCTCACATTTTCAGGAAGATTTTAGTCGCATAAATCCAAAATGCTGCCTCCCCATGTTTAGTTATGACTCTGGACACCAGCAGGAGGCCAGTCCCTGTGCTCCTCAGAGTCCCAGCAGGAGGCCAGTCTTAATGCAGAGACTCTCAGGCCTTGTTCAAAAGCAGTGTGACGGTGAAGTTGAAGAGCTGTAGTGAGAGCTCAGGTGCACGTGTATGTGAAATGATTCACAAATCATTAATGACAAAACTCTTGTGTATTCATCTGTTATGGTCCCAGCTGGATTAATCTGCATATCTGGCAACCTGAGTCAGCGAGAGTGGGAGAGGTTGCAGTAGCACTTTTGGCCAGATTTTAACATTTTTACAAGTAGTAGATGTTGAGATGAAGAGGACTGTGGGAATAGCATATGGTGAGATCAAAGTTGAAGTTGAAGTGAAGGTGAGTACTAAGTACACCATACCAATGTGTATGGAATTGTTTCACCCCTGAATCTGTTATACTTTTTTGCCACGTATGAAGCGTGTAGAGCTCTGTGAATTCGGAAGTGCAGTGATCCAGGCTGATCCTAGAGCAAAACAGGATATCAGCTGATCCCAAGCACAGTACAACAGGACACAAAAGGTTTCCATTGACGCAGGCTTGAGGGCTCCTGTCCTGAACTTGAGGCTTGGTGCTCAGAAAATTCACCTAACACCTATCATATGATCATCCACTGCTGCTACAATGACGTGCAACAACGACAAAGCGAGGATCATCAGTTCTGCAGTTTTGAACCGGAAGTCAATAAACACAGGTGTAATGTGAGGTCTTTAAAACATGCAAACCTCTGATAAATATGTAGTTTGGCTGTTGTATTGTATTTAGAGTTGCCAACTTGAGAACAAAAAAATAAGGGACACCATTTGGGTGGATCGGGATGAGCACTTTTTTTTTTTTTTTTAATTTGTTTATTGAAGAGTGACATTTTTATCATAAAATTTTACAGATTACATGTTTGCTCTTTTCTTTTTTCTTTTTCCCCCAGAACCCCTGCACAACAGAATGAGATGTATACACATTCGCATATATACATGTACACACACAATCATAAACACTTCTAGAAAATATATGTACACATGCACATAGGATAGCGAGATAAGCAAACATTCAATCATTTCCAAAAATGAAAAAAAAAAAAAAAAATAATAATAATAATAATAATAATGAAATAAAAATAATAATAATGCTAAGGAAAGAGGGGGACAGTCAACCCGGAGGCAGAGTTCTTAATGATTTACAATAATCAATAAAGGAACCCCACTTTTGTTCAAACTTTTCTTCATTACCTTTGGTTGCCATATTTATCTTTTCCAATTTAAGAAATCCTAACATATCACAAAACCATTGGGAAATTAAAGGAGTATTAGCAGATTTCCAGAGTAGCAAAATATTGCGCCTTGCTATGAGTGATGTAAAGGCTAGTACTTTGGATTGAGCAGGGTCACTCAGCACTGAATTAATCGGAAGGCCAAACACGGCTAAAAAAGGATTGACTTCCACTCTGATTTTAAGGGCCTTAGAAAGTATATCCCCATTCTGCTTCCAGAAGTTATGTAGTTTTGGGCATAAAAAGAACATGTGGCTCAAATTGCAAGGGCTTGTCTGGCATCTCTCACATTGATCTATGACCTGAGGAAAAATCTTTGATAGATATGATATAGAATAGTGAACCCTATATAATACTTTAAACTGAATGAGCTGCAGTCTTATGGAAGGTGTACTTGAGCGGACAATAGATATTGCTTTCTCCCATTGTTGTTCTGAAAATGTAATACCCATTTCCTGCTCCCAACTTCTTCTAATCTTATCTGTCGAATGCACATCTATTTCCATAAGGTGTCTATATATTATTGACATAATTGACTTTTGGTGTAGTTTAAAGGATAAGAATTCTTCCCATGATTGGGGGTCTGGGAGTGAAGGATATTCTGAAAATAAAGAACTTGAACAATGTCGTATCTGAAAATATCGAAACAGATGAGAAGCTGGGAGCTTATTTACAGAGGACAAGTCGGTGAAATTAAAAAAAGTGCCATCTTTATATAAGTCTCTAAACGTTTTGAGGCCTGATTGTTTCCACTGGTTAAAGGCAGCATCTGTGAGACCGGGAGGAAATAAATGATTGTTTGGGATAGGCATTTTTGTTGATGCAGATATAAACTTGAAGTGGCTCCGGTACTGAGACCACACCTTCAATGTGGATAGAACCACTGGGTTCTTTGTGTAGCGAGAGGGGTTAAGTGGAAGTCAAAAGCGCATCAAGTGAGGAAGAGGTACAGGACTGGTGTTCCAGTCTGCACCAAAGCAAATTCCGTGATTGGAGCCAGTAAATTGATTTATGAATATGCGCAGACCAATAATAGTATAAAAAATTGGGTAAAGAAAGGCCCCCACTGAATGTCAGCTTTTGTAATAAAGTTTTCTTCACTCTTGGAGTTTTTCCTTCCCATAAAAAAGTGGTTATAAGTTTATCTAAAGTTTTAAAAAATGATTTGGGCAAAAAGACCGGAATGCATTGAAAAAGAAAGAGAAAGCGTGGCAATATGTTCATTTTTATTATATTAATTCGTCCCAAAAGTGACAAAGGTAAAGAGCTCCAACGTTGAAAGTCCACAGGAAAGCCACCAGTGAGGAAAGTGTGCGTGTCACGTTAACGCCTAGATATTTGAATCCTGAAGAGCTGAGCTTAAATGGAATGTCTTCCTGCTTGAGAGCTAAAGCTGAAGTGTTTATGGGGAAGCATTCACTCTTAAGAAGATTTATTTTGTAGCCTGAAAATGATCCAAAGCTTTTCAGAAATGATAATATCGGTGGAACACTTGTTTTGGGACTGGATACATATAGAAGCAAATCATCAGCATAAAGTGACAGTTTCAAATCAATACCCAAACGTGATATACCCCTAAACTGATCCAGCGAGCGTAATGCAATTGATAACGGTTCAATAGCTAAAGCAAACAGCAAAGGAGACAACGGGCATCCCTGTCTTGTTCCCCGAGATAGCGTGAAATAAGCAGAAGTGACATCATTTGTGTGAACACTTTGTGTGAACAATTATATAATAACTGAATCCATGAAACGAAACGTTCACCAAAACCAAATTTCTTCAGCACAGCAAAAAGGTAGCGCCACTCAACACGGTCAAACGCTTTTTCTGTGTCAAGCGAGATTACAACCTCTGGAACAGTGGCGGAATGTTGAGATGTGATAACATTAAAAAGAGTGTGAACATTATAAAACAAATGCCGGCCTTTAATGAAACCTGTCTGTTCTTCTGAGATAATTGAAGGAAGGATTTTTTCAAGGCGGCACGCCAGCACTTTGGCCAAAACTTTTACATCCACATTAAGCAGTGAAATAGGTCTATATGATGAACAAGAAGTAGGGTCCTTATCCTTCTTTAAAAGAACAGTAATAACTGCTTGAGAAAGTGTAGGAGGCAAGGTACCTCGTTCAAGGGATTCGTTGTAGAGTGAAAGAAGCAGTGGTGACATTTTTTCCACCAGGTCTTTATAGAATTCTACTGAGAAGCCGTCCGGGCCAGGTGCCCGACCATTATGCATGCTTTTAATGGCAGATGAGATTTCTTCAAGTTGAATGGGCATATCCAGCTGTTCAGCCAAGGCTGGGTCCACTTGAGGAGCAGCCAGGCCCTCTAGAAAAGCACATAGTTCAGTAGGGCTTACTGTGGATTCAGATTGATATAGAGAAGAGTAATATTCCTTGAAAATATCATTAATCGCTTTCGAATCAGAGGCCAAATTGTTAGTTGTGCCTCTAATTTGATTTATCAGTCTAGAAGCAGCCTGACGTTTCAACTGGTGAGCAAGAAGCCGACTGGGCTTTTCCCCATGTTCAAAGAATGTAGCACGAGAGCGAAGTATGAGTCGTTCTGCCTCAGATGTAGAGAGTAGATCAAACTCAGTTTGTAAATTTATTCGCATTTTGTGTAAACTAGGAGTAGGCTGAGCAACTATTTGATTATCTAGGTCACTAATCTTTGTTAATAACTCAGTTATTCTATTTCTGCGCTCTCTATTGGAATGAATAGAAAAAGAAATTATTTGTCCACGTAAATATGCTTTCAAAGATTCCCATAGAAGAGAATAAGAAATTGAGTCATTTTTGTTAAGGGCAATATATTCATCAATTTGAGATCTAATGAACACAGAAAAATTCTCGTCTAACAATAATGAAGAATTAAACCTCCAGGGTGAGGAAAAAAGCGGTTGATTTGGCAATTTTATATTCATACTGAGTGGGGCATGGTCAGAAATTACTATTGGGTGGTATTTAGGTAAAGTTGTTTGAGCAAGGAGAGAACTGTCTATAAAGAAATAATCAATGCGCGAAAAGGACTGGTGTACTTTAGAAAAGAAGGAGTATGCTCTTGTGCTTGGGTAGTGGGACCTCCACGGATCCACTAAAGCATTCTGTGCGGTAAAGTCTGAAATAGTTCTAGACATGGAGGATTGGGTAATAGTTTTGGGGTTTGAACGGTCCAAAATAGGGTTGATAACACAATTGAAATCTCCAGCTATTATTAGCCGGTGGGTGTTCATGGATGGGATGGCACTAAATAGTTTATGCATAAATCTTGGATCATCGAAATTAGGAGCGTATACATTAACTAATACAACAGGGTTGTTGCACACAGCACCGATAAGCATTAGATATCGCCCATTTTTGTCAGCTATTAAATTAGATAGAGTAAATTGTATTCTCTTATTTATTAAAATAGCTACTCCTCTAGCTTTAGTATCAAAATGACGAATGGAAAACCTGTCCCACCCATGGACTTTTGAGCCTACCATGATCCTTATTTCGTAAATGAGTTTCCTGTAGGAATATAACATCACCTTTGATACGTTTCAGATGTGCCATTATTTTAGAACGTTTAATGGGGCTGTTCATTCCTTTCACGTTCCAGGTCAGAAATGTAATGCCATCAATATTGTTTAAAACTGTACCTGGGGAGCCAGTCATTTAAACGATGAGTGTATATTTGACATTATACCCCCACATAGAAGAAAAACAAAAACAAAACAAAAGATATAAAAAGAGAATAAAAAACGAGGAAAGAAAAATAAAAGGATTAAGTACAAAAACCAAATCTTTGACAGAATGCAGCTTATCAAAACAGCGGAACAGAACCCAACCCTCCCCCCTCCCCCCCGCACATCAGTTGTCCCCATCCCCAAACGACAGAGACAGCAGTGCAAGCTCCTTAACGGAGCGATAGAAAAAAAAAAAACCTTCTCGACTAGTTAGACCCACTTGAATCTAACAGCTAGCCACAACTCCCGCAAAATGAAACGTTAAACGTAAAGGCACAAACATTAAACCAGTAGTGCTTCAAAACGGCATGTTTTAACAACTACAAAGGAATATTTAACCCCTGTGTTTTCAAATTCTATATACGAAACAGAACTTACCCTGCAAGGAAACTAACTGAAATAAGCCATAACAATAATAATAAACATATCTATCCAGTTATAGTCTTCACAAACTTTGCTGCTTCCTCTGGGGAGATAAAGTCGCGTTGTTTCCCGTCGTGCGTGATGCGTAGCTTGGCTGGGTGAAGAATCCCAAAGCGAATTCCACCAATGTCCCTGAGTTGGCGGCGCACATCATTGAATGCTGCACGCGCGCGAGCCGTCTTCGCAGTGTAGTCAGGAAAAACGGAGATGGCAATGTCTCTGGTCTTAATCTGTTGTAGTTCCCTAGCCCTTCGGAGAATTTCTGCACAATCTGAGTAGTAATGTAATCGCGTTACTACGGTGCGGGGTCGCCCGCCAGCACTGGGAATGGCGTTCATGGCCCGGTGAGCCCGGTCCACAAGTGGTTCCTTACCGAGCCGAAAAGCATCTCTCAGAAGTGTTGACACAAATTCACAGGATATAGCCTGGCTTTCTGGTATTCCCACTATGCGCACGTTGTTACGGCGTGATCTAGACTCCAAATCTTCACATTTATTGTCTAGTCTGATGAGATCTTTAGACATATTTTCCACCTTGGTGCGGAGGGACACAATGTCGTCCGTGCATGTCGAGAGAGAGTGCTCCATATCAGCGACAGTAGCCTTTAGCTCCGAGACCTCTTGCGTCACAGTGCTAATGCTAGCGGAAAGTTCAGTCTTTAGCACAAGTAGTTCGTTTTTGACAGATACCAGGTGCATTCCAAATGCCTCTTGTAATTCTGCTTTAAACAACATTTTCATCTCCTCCCGAAAAGCATCCAGGTGCTCGATTTTCAAATTAGTAGCGTCACCTGTGGCTAGCTCCTCCGCAACTTCAGACGGCCCCGAGGATTCACTGTGGCTGGGGGATGTAGCATCCGCAGGCCCCCTTTGGTGCGCCTTCGCTTTCCTTCCTTTGTGCGACATTTTTGTCAACAAAAATCAAAAAGCATATACCTTAACAAAGTATATATGACGTCCAAATGCCGGGGATGAACCAATTGTGCCAAAACTATTGGATAATATTAATTTGCGCAGGAGCGTATGGAGACACGTGTTACTCCATCGTCTGCCTAGCCCAGAATCCCAATGAGTACATTTTAACGTTTTTTGGATGAGTACATTTTGAAATATTTGAACAATACTTTGTGGATGTGGGTGTGTGTGCCATGAAACATATTATTTTGCATCAAAAACACTTTCTCAGAACTTGTTGTTTCCGTTTTCTAACATGTAAGATCCTGGACATGTTTGAGGAGATGCTAAAGTTAAACTTAATAGTGTCACAGTCACTTTTCTGCAGGTTTGTCTGTTTTCACAAACACCTCATTTTCTCAGCTTTTTGTCTCGGACTGGTGCTTTTTGTCACACTCCCCTCTTTTTGACTGGAGATCACAGGAGAACGAAACAAGCTAAAAACAAACGTCTTTTTGCTGCTGAAAGTAGACAGTCCAGTCTTTCAGACTCTGGTTTCATTTTTTTCATAGCACACAATATTCTGTGAGTCTTGAAAATCAGTGAAGTCATCAAAAATGGCTGGCAGTCAAGGAGAACCTCTTTTTCAAGGGAGTCCTGTACAAAAATTACATACAATTACAGATTATAAAACAGTTAGATACAGATTATAAAACAGTCACATACAATGTCATAAAATTACGGATTATAAAAACAGTTACATTTGACTGAAGATGTCTCAAGTCTCAATCTGGATCTGAAAGCATTCAATGAAACACAGTCAGATCATTTCCAGTCTTTTTGCAACACGTTCCATGTAGAAGGAGCAGCAAATACAAAAGCTTCTTTAGGAATGAAACCTCTGCCTTGTTTTTGATGAATACTTAGGCTTATTACGCTACTGTGTGGTGTTGGTCATTTGTGGTGGTACTTGGAGAGGCAAGTATTTTCTGAGGGGGTACTTGGTGTAATAGGTTTGAGAACCACTGGTATAATAATAATAATAATGCATCAGTTTTATATAGCGCTTTTTTGGACACTCAAAGACACTTTACATGTCATTATTCATTTACTCCAAACACGGTGGTGATAAACTACTACTGTAGCCACAGCTGCCCTGGGGCACACTGACAGAAGCGAGGCAACCAGTATGTGCCATCGGTCCCTCTGACCACCACCAACCATTCACACACACACCAGACTCATTCTAGGCAATGGGGGTGAAGTGTCTTGCCTAAGGACACAACAGCAGTTTGGCACTTTACAGCCGCCCCACTGTGGCTGCTGTTCCCAGAGGTTAAGTGTCTTGCCAAGGACACAACGACAGCAGGAGTCCATGGTGAAAGTCGGACTCGAACCCACGACCCTCTGGCTCAAATGCCAATGCTCTACCAACTGAGCTACTGTCGCCTGAATATAGAATATAGATATATAGATTTTGTAGGATTAATACTCTTTCATAGGTAGTTTTTGTTATTAATTATAACATGATGAGTGCAGTGAACAAGCTTATAAAAAGACATGCTAAATTATTTCTCATTGCTTTGTGTCACGTTAAGTACTGAAGTATTCACAATTTTCTATGGTAGACTGAACAGTCTGCCAGGCAGGCCCCAGGCCTAAAAAGAAAAGATCTACATTTAATTTATATTAATGTAAACAAGTATTAGATATTGCTTTTTACCGGATTATTAAATGTATATTTATACCTACTGTAATATAAACCTTAAAAAATAAATTAAAAAAAAGTACAGAATGATGTGGAGGAAAGGAAAAGAAGCCTCCGCCTTGTCTTTTCTGTGGGTGTGTTGTGTCTAGTATTAAATGAGTGAGAGCGATTGGATCCAAATAAGCATCTGCTTTGTCCAACTCATTTTCTGTATAAGGGTGATTTTCTCATTACAACCCTAGTGTTAAATTTGTACTAACTAATAGTGCCAGAAATCTTTTTATTTTTGTTTCCAGGGTAGCAGAAACCTTAAGAAAAACATACAGATGAATGGCAGTGCTTACTTATTTTTTCTTTAATATATAAGAAAAATATATTAGAAAAAATAAAGATGTTGTTTATTTTGACAGGCCTTGGCTAGGCCCTTTGTGATCCATGGCTTGTCCTGATTACTAACTTTAATAACATATTTCTTAAGTGGACAGTTCTTATCATATAATTTGGTTAGAGTAAATAGAAAAGCATCATAGGCTCTATCAGGGTCTGGAGTTACGTACTTCCCCCCAGGTCTGAGCACATACAGTAAGTCAGCCTTGAAGGCTGCAATAGCTTCCGGTGTTCGATGTCTAATAAGTTTGAAAGTATCTGTTTTGGGATTGCTAAGCTGTAACTGGTAAAAAATGGGAAGATGGTCACTAATGTCATTAATAAGTATTCCTGAAGTAATTTGATTACCTATATGGTTGGTAATATATTATCTATAAATTTAGATAATTTGACTGAGATTCTGGTCGGTTTAAGTATAAGTGATAAGAGTGTGTTACAATACATAGCGTTCATGAACTCATCTGTTTTCACATTATTCATAGGATTTAGGAGATTGATATTAAAGTCACCACATACAATGTGGATTTTATTCAGATCATAGAACTTTTGATTTTTTGGTTGAAAATATCAAGACATGGACCAGGTGTTCTGTACAAGCAGCTAACAACCATGTTTTTAGGTTTTTAAATATGAATTTCAACGGTTAAGAACTCCAAAGTAGAAGAGGAACTGCAATATTGAGAGGGGACAAGGGCATCGTTGAAATAGTTCATAGCCCAACGCCATGGGTGTCGTCCATCATAGCAACTCCAAAACCCAAAAATCCACCTGTGCATTGACATGTGCCTGCCAAACACGGCTGTCCAGAGGCACATAACACCTACAGTGGATGACATCATTCATGATCTTAACGGTGCAACTACCTTCTCAAAGCTGGACCTAAACGCAGGATACCATCAACTGGAACTAGCACCTGAATCCAGATACATGAGCACATCTTCCACACATGTGGGACTGAGGAGATATACAAGACTTATCTTCGGAATATCCAGTTTCCAGCGTACAATTCCAAACGTGCTGCATGGATAACCAGGAGTAAGAAACTTCAGTGATGATTTCAGGGGCCACACATGCAGATCATGTTTGTTTCGTGGAGGCAGTCTTCGTGCGACTCGCTGAGAACAACCTCACAATCAATGAGCAAATATATCCATCCATCCATCTTCTTCCCCTTAATCCATTTCTGGGTTGGGGGGTTGGCAATCAGAGATGGACCCAATTCACATAGCACCAGCCCCTCACTGATCCTGAGGTGGCTGCTCTGTCAGTGAGCATAGCCTAGAAAAATATGTGTTCAACAAACTGTTTTTGGAATTCTACGGCAATGTTTTTTTAACTGAGAGCCACACCAGCATGGTCAACCAAATCGCTCTTTACATTTATAACTTTTCTTAAAAATTCATTTATGCCTGGACCCTGGAAAAAGCTGTTAAAGCTTTGCTCCCCAAGTTTTGCACTCAAGCCTCTCCCCTCTAATTTTAACCAAATCCCCCTAGTTCTAATCATACTTTTAAGGACTTTTTTGGTAATAAATCATCTTAAACTTTTAAAACTGTTGTGATCCTTGTACCCTGGTGATCAGAACAGTGTTTGACGGCGTCACACTGTTGATCTATGGAACAGTCTATCTATTCAACTCAAGGGCTCAAGAACTATTAAAACATTCAAAAAAAAGTCAAATATTATGGAGAAGTATAGGACAATTGGATTGGACTATGTTTAATAACTCGTGTTTATGGAAGTTCATGTTTTGTGCTTCATGTTACCATTGTTGGTATATGAGAATCTGTATTTTGTGTCATCTTTGGACGTATTTTCACATTGTATTAGGGGTTAGGCAGTATAAGTTTCGACTTCAGCCTAAACCCTTTCGGTCAGGTATTGTTTCGCACAAGGTCCTTTATGGACACATTTTGGTTCTTTTTTTTTTTTTTCTTGTTGTAAGAATTAAATGTGATCTCTGTATCCGTGTGACCCGAGGTCGGGTGTACATATTGGCCGAAGAAAAAATAAACGAACTAACTAACTAACATGATACACGCTTCTGTAAAGCAAGTACAACAGTGTGAGGAATTTTTACAGTGCCCCGAAAGAGAAAATCACCCTCATTTTGTCTGAGGATAAACAAATCCTGTTTTTAATTGTTTTGTGAAATGTTTGCACTCAAGTTTAATTATAAATAAACAAGACACAGCCGAAATAAGAACCATTCCTTTCTGCTCCACATTAATTCTCATGCAAATTGAATTGATAATACATTTGTATACATGTTATACGGCCCCAGCTGCTCCTCCCAGTGAGTCTGAATGCAAACTAAAGCGGTGCTCCTGTGTCTATATAAGGCCCATGTGAGTGTGTCCCAGTGATCTCTGCTCTGATGATGCTGTCTGTGGCTCTTCTGCTGCTGCTGGCAGCTGGATCCTGTAAGTCTCTCTTCACATCCAACTCTGCTACAAGTAAACAGTACAGTTTTATCCTCATTATTGTGTTGTGTTCTCCACAGGTGTGAAGAGTGAGACACTGACACAGGTGGCCTCGGTGACTGTGCAGCCAGGGCACACTCTCTCCCTCCCCTGTAACGTCTCCTACTCTTTAGGCAGCTACTTCACTGCATGGATCAGACAGCAGGCAGGGAAAGGCCTGGAGTGGATTGGAAGCAAATACACCGGAGCATCCTACTATAAAGAAAGTCTGAGGAACAAATTCAGTATTGATTTAGACACCTCCAGTAACAAAGTGACTCTGATCGGACAGAACATGCAGCCTGCAGACTCTGCAGTGTACTACTGCGCAAGAGACACACAGTCAAACAAAGAATGACTAGAGCTGAACAAAAATAAGTCAGACTGTTGTTCCCTTCAGCCACCAGAGAGGGAGCCCTACTACATGAATCATGTTTAGTTTTGAATGATACCTAAAAATAGACACAGTCGAAGACAAAGACAGAAACAATTTATATCACTATTTTAAATTAACCATTGACAACTAGTTAGTGCATTTATGTACGAGCTAAACATGCCGAGACAAACACATATTGACTACATTATGCATCAATGCAGAGTAGACATGGTTAAAACTATTATATTCTTTATCAGACAGACTTCTGATTGTATACATTGTCGTGCTCGGACATGCTCATCACACCTGCTCATCAGCAGATCTCAGATACTCAGCAAGGCTGGGCCTGGTCTGACTTGGGATGGGAGACCATAGGTGTATTCAAACACAATTCCACAGAGCAAAAAACATGTACAGTATATGTCGCGGCTTAGGAATTACTTAACGCCTACTCACTATGATGTCAGTTTAAATATATATAATACCAACAACGCCACCTTAGAATTTGGTCTAAGGAAACATGAAAAACGTTATCCCATGTTCTAAAGGTCACACAGGTTCGAAGCAACAAATAAAATCAATTTAAGAAACAAATACTGTTTTAAAAAGTGTCCACTACAGAAGCAAGTTGTAGACCCAACTTAAAAAAGGTGATCGACCCACTCGGAAAAGGGTTGTAAACCACACTTTAAAAGAGTATTGTAGACCCCACTCGAAAAGGGGAGGTAGGAAACAGGACCCTATAATCAATATTGTTTGATTTAGAACAAAAACACTCATGGACTTTGAGGAGCAGCTCTGTGTTTGACAAACCGTCTGAAAGAAGCGCTCCGCACACGAGCTGTCCTGATCCTCGCTACGATCGCTCGAGAGATGCATTTTTCGCGGTGAGGGCAGGTCCTGGCTCAAAAAGGTCCATGAGCACATACGCTGACATATTTGCAATCTCACCCCTAGCCGGTGGGGGTGTACCTGGAAAGAGAATTACCCAATGCTTTTTTATGACTCCTTCTTTCCTCTCGAAAACTGCATTACAGGATGGTCCAAAAGTTGCATCTAAGTTCCAGATGTGTGTCAATGCTGAGGGGAGTATTCTTTTTTTGGACCAGTCTAGTTTAGCCGCGGTGGACTTTAGAATGCACTCATTAAATGAATGGGGCTGGTGCCGGCCGACGCATGTAAGAGGATCTAAGAAAATAAATGAATCAGCCCGAGGCGCATGGGGCGATAGTGTGGTTCAAATTGCTCACGGCTTCTACTGATTTCCCTCTTTTTAGTGCTTTCACCACATTTCTCAAATTCTGTTTTTGTTAATGGTTCATCACAGTTCAATTTAAATTCTTCTGAAATAGTAGGGACAAGATTTTTCATAGAATTAATAAATGATTCAGATACATCAGGTTGAACTTTATAACAGTAGATATCTCTGTAGAAATGCTCAACATATTTGGACAGTAACTTTTGGTCAGACAACACTTTATCTCCTGATTTCAATGAGTGAAATTCATGCTGCTAAAATCTGGAACAATCTTCCTGAAAGTGTGAGACAGGCCTCCTCTCTGACAATGTTTAGAACCAGGTTAAAAACAGTTCTGTTTAGCTGTGCATACAACTGAAGAATTTTATATTTTTATCTTTCTTTTTAATGTACCGTGATTATTTATGATTTTGATGCCATCTTGTTTTGCTCAGCACTTTGAATTGCCTTGTGTATGAATTGTGCTAAATAAATAAACTTGCCTTGCCTTAATTAGTTTATACTTGCATGCAACAAGGAGGAGATGGTTTTATGGCGGCGAGGAGGCATCTGCGTCCTCTGCAGCCCAAAACCAAGTCCTAACCCGTTTGCTCTGCAGGCAGCGTTTTATTTCAGAGCAGATAACACACCTTCACACAGGGAAAAGCCCCAAAACTAGGTGAAGTTACACATTAACCACTTGTTGGACAACGTCTTGCCACATAGTCTCACACAAAAGACTCCTCAATGTGGATAATGCGGATAATAATTCAATTGGTTTCACTTGGAGTCCTTTTCGACAAAGAACTCTCCTTCAAGGCTTATATAAGCCAAGCTACTAAAGTAACTCACGGAACATCGCTAAAATCAGGAATTTCCTTCCTAAAAGTGACGCGGAAAAACTTACCCACTCTTTTGTCACCTCAAGACTTGATTACTGTAACACTTTATTGGCAGCATGCCCTTAAACCTCTTTGAAGAGCTTCCAGCTCGTTCAGAATACAGCAGCTAGGATCTTAACAGGTACCAAAAGGAGGGAGCACATAACTCTGGTGTTAAAATCACTCCACTGGCTCCCTGTGGAGTACAGAATAAAGTTTAAAATCCTTCTCTTAACATACAAAGCCATAAATGGCTTGGCTCCTTCTTATCTCCAGCACACGTTAGTGTCATGTTAGTATTAGATAGCAATATGGCCTACGTGCAGGACTCTACAAGGACTCTGATTATTATGACTATGATTTGCACTCTCTCTGTGTGACACGTACGTCTTTCGATGTGTGACGTGACAATGACTATATAAACTGTGTACTGCCTTTATTCTGTCTGAGAGAAAGAAACAATTGAAACAACTGGAACTTGAGAGAAACTTAAATAAACTTCCAGAGTTTGGCGCACCACGATCCGTCTCTGTCTGCTGAATCCCTGACAGATTTGGTGGAGAATGTGCGGCTCGGTGTGCGCCATTCTCTGGATTGTTTTGAGGGAGTTTCCTTTGTTTCTTTTTTCGGCGTGTGGGAGCAACAGCACGTTATCTGGAAGGGGAGAAATCTCAGTGGACGCTGAAAGGGCTCGCTTTTGGATGGGCTTGCTCTTGCTCCCTCACTTTCTCTGTTTTGTGTTTAAATTGAATTTTTCGACGCGGAAAAGATGTTGGTCGACCTCTCGAACAGTCCGGACAAAGAAAATAAGGTAAGCAGACACCTTTTTTAATATGTAAAGTCTGCATAATTGGATACTAGCTAAATTTTGAGCTGTCCCGGAGGTCTGTCCAAATCTCTCTAAATCAAATTGTCTTTGTCACGTCTTTGTCATGTCTTATGTTGTAGAAAACAGGTTAGCTGTGTGGGTAACCAGTCCCTATAGGAAAAAGGAACCCCTGATGTATCGGGGTCCCTGTCCTTTGAAGTAGTCAGGACAGAGAGAAAAAGGAACCCCTGACGTATCGGGGTCCCTGTCCTTTGAAGTAGTCAGGACAGAGAGAAAAAGGAACCCCTGACTTATCGGGGTCCCTGTCCTTTGAAGTAGTCAGGACAGAGAGAAAAAGGAACCCCTGATGTATCGGGGTCCCTGCCTTTGGAGTAGCCGGGGCAGAGAATAGAGAATAGAAAATAGTTAGTGAAACCATGGTGTAAAAATTAAAAGTTATAATAAAAAGGGAAACGTTAAACACTAAGAGTGCCTTTTGTTACTAGTGTGGAAATTTGCCATTTCTAGACTTGGATAACAAAAGTTTAAAGAACAACATCAGTTATATTTGCTTAAAAAAGTAATCTTGAAAGTTCTTCTTTCTGTTTTTGCATGTTTGCTAAAACACTACTTTCTGCCTGTGTGTGTGCGCAGCTCTATCTTGCTGCCGTTGTCAGGGGAAACGGCCCCCTCCTTCGCTGCTCTGGCTCTGAATCAGAAAAAACCTGCGTTTAGGATTTTGGCTTTTCATAGTTGTTATTCCGTTAAATTGGCAAAATTTGCAATTGAACATTGTGTTATGACACAGTTAAACGTTTTAAACACCATTTAGTAAAAAGAAGTTTTGAATTAGTATGTTTATCTAAATCCAAAGATTAGTACAAAAAAGCTTCGCTTTTCTTTTTAAATCTGCTGCTTATTTTTTGAGTCCATTATTGTATCTATGATATATTTCATAGCTGTTTGTGAGAATTTTTTCATGTATTTTTATTTTAGTTACAAAAGCCGTTTTTCAAACATTTAAATTAGAATCTGTGTCAAAAGTGATTATTGATTATAGACTTCGTCTAAAAAGAAAGAGGGAATTAGGATTAGCTGTAAAAGTATTATATTATTAAGTTAAACTACCCAATTCACCCAATTCACATTGCAAGAGGTGACTTTTTTGTTTTGACTACACGCCTGACCTTGTTGCTCCTGCTGATGCACACAGCAGAGGAGCCTGATCTGAAATGTGCTCCAATTCATATTGACTTCATTTGAAAAGGCTGCAATTATTTTAAATTAGTAGAATATATGCTGATATAAATGTTCAAGTGTAAAAGGGAAAGTCCATAAAGTGAAACCCAAGGACGCATAGATAATTAAACACACAGTACAAAAGTACATAATACATATTTTAAAGTTTAAAAGGTTGTTTGTTTTGAGTATAATTGTTGTTTTTATAACTTCTTTAGTTTCTGGTCTTAAAAATGTCATCATTAGTAAGATAATAAGTAATCTTTTATTTACATAGCGCATGTGGGAAAGCCAAGAGTGCTCCAAAATTGTTTAGACTTTAGAGAGAAAAACAATCTCATTCACATACTGATATCTGTTGTTTTGATTTTGACTATAAGGTTGTTTTCCAGGACCAAGGGCACACACTGTACAGGGTCACTGGACAGCAGGAGTGGACACTGGACAGAAAACCCCACCCAGCACAGGTCACAGATCAAAGAGCAAAGGAAAATGCCACCTCCTTGCCCCTCCCCACGCCACTCCAGAACTGAGTGGGTGTGAGAGAGACCGGGGTAGAGAGAGGTTTCTGGAGACGTGATGGTGGAGCATCAAGGAGAGACCTGGAGGAGAGTTGAGAGTGTGTCCAGTTGGTTTACATCACCACAGTGTGACCTTCTAATGCAGGTGGTTCGAGGAGTCTGGAGACACAACCCCAAAATTCACACCCTACATACACACACACACATACATCTACACTCACACATTCACATTTACATATAGATACATGAAAAAGCAGAACCTGAGAAAAAAGCATTTTAAAAGTTTACTCCAATGT